ATATAAAAGAGTTAACTTTGAAAAGTTCGGCAAATTGAGCACAGTTTTTCAGGTAATAAATTCAAGATGGTACAAATAATCTATATAATCTTTATAATACACATTTATAAGAAATATATATCTTCTTTATATGTATTAATATCTATGTATGCAGAAAGAAAATGGTACAGTAACGGCTGGAAATGCATCTACTTTAAATGATGGTGCCGCTGCATTAATTTTAACCACCAGCGAGGTTGCTCAAAAACTGAATCTTAAGCCCTTGGCTAGAATTGTTGCTTTTCAAGATGCTGCAACGGATCCTATTGATTTTCCAATCGCACCAGCTCTTGCAGTGCCCTCGGTAAATTGTTTGTCAATAAATGCATGTTATTTGGAGTAAAAACAATATTATATTATAGTCTTTTCTTTGCATTATTTTAGCTACTTGAAAATGCTGGAGTTAACAAAAATGATGTAGCTCTTTGGGAAATCAATGAAGCATTTAGCGTAGTAGCTGTGGCAAATCAGAAATTACTCGATATTGATCCTGCTAAGGTAAATGTTCATGGTGGTGCTGTTTCGCTTGGACATCCTATAGGGTAAGTTATTTGAATATATTCTGTTATTTTGTATATTTTAATGTAATGTTTTGAATATTTTACTGCCACAATGATTAGTTATCATACTATAAAATTAATATATTGACAATTGATGACAAATATAAATCTTACAGCATGTCGGGAGCACGTATTATAGTACATTTGGTGCATGCTCTTAAAGCTGGAGAAAAGGGTATTGCATCAATTTGCAATGGAGGCGGTGGTGCATCATCGATTCTGATTGAGAAATTGTAAGTTTACAAATGGCAATCATGACTGTTATTTGAATCTGCATAAATCATTAAATACTTCATGGGGTTATGAAATGCTTAATGTTAGAATAATATTGAATCTTGTTTGTAAGGACTTTTATATAAAGGAATATGAGGAATTTTATAATACTTTTATAATACAGTTATATAAATATATAAAATAGCATTTTATATTTTTCGACTGATATGTAAATATTAAATAGTTTTTATAAAAAATGCGAATATGATAAAAGTTATATTTTCTTATCATATACTATATCTTTTTTATATATTGTTGTTCAAACATATTTCCTTATTTTAATACGTTAGTTAATTGATTTTTAGGTATCATCCAGTATCATCCTTTCCACCAAAATTAACATTATATACGAAAAATCCATGTCCACTTTGTGAAGTTCTAAAAAACCAATTACATTTGCATTTCACTGGACGTTATCAGTTAGAAGAAATTGACATCACTGCTCAAGGAAGCGAACGGTATTTTAAATTATATCAGTATGACATACCAGTTCTTTTTTTAGAAGGTCAGTATTTATGCAAACATCGATTAGATGTTGATTTGTTAGAAAAAAGACTTAATGACTTAGTTTCAAGAAAAGATATATATTGATAATAAGTTCGTATTATTATCAACTTCATTAATTTATTGCAATATATGAAGCATATTAAAAATCACTTTTTCTGGATTGTGTAATTTGTAAGAAAATTATTTAATATAACGAATATAGCATTTTCAAAATCAATATTTACAATAAGTGTTACGTAGGTTAATGATATTTGCAGAATAATCTTGATCTTGCCGTCCGTCTCGTTTGCATTATCTTTTTCTTTCATTGCTATTCTCTCTCCCTACGATCGTTACGTCTTTCTCCCGCTGTTAGTGATCCTCCTTTCTCTACAATAGACCGGACCTGTTCCGCTCTTTCCCTCCCGCCATTCGCGCGTGCGTGCGTGTGGGTGCGTTGATCGGTGGTGAATTGGTGAATGTATGAACTCGCAGTCTGCGCGCTCGTCGGCGATCGTTCTTCCTCAGTGCGTACCTTACGCGGGCACCGTGAAGTACTTGCTTTTCGCAGAGCGGTTACGTGGCACGCGTTCGGTACAACGACAGGGGGAAAGAGGAATAAAATTGACAGATAAGGTCGAAAAAAAGGAAAGACGCGGGGAGAACAAAAAAGAAAGAAAGAGGAAAATAAACTTGACAGAGAGAAAGGAAGAGAAACAAGTTGACAGAGAAGGAGAGAAAACAAGGTAAGAACAGAGAGAAAGAGAGAGAGAGAGAAAGAAGTAGAGTGAAGTACGAGAGAGAAAAGTGAAAAAATGAGAAAAAGAAAGACAAGTAATCGTTCTTTTTCAAAGTGAATCGCGAAGGTGGCAAGTAATATCTTGTGCGCGTCTTGTGAGTGCTTTGCGTTTGGAGTTCGCATTATAAAAATCGATTATTGATAAAAAAGAAAGAGAAAAAGAGATTGTCCTTAATTATTTATGAAAAAACTTTTTTTCGGTGTCTTAATGCTTTTGAAGTTAGACTATCAACGCATGACTCCATCTTCATTATCGATTCCATTATCGATCAGCGTTTCGTCTTATTTCTCGCATTGACGCCGCGGATGCAGGTAAGGCAAGAATACAAAAATCCGTCACGTTCATCGACGCGCTGCTGCGAATCGCCACCAGTGAGTCACGCTACCCGACCCGGTTCTGTTATCGAGGTGAACGTGGCAAACGTTTCGAAGTAAATGAACAACGTAAGTACGAACAACAAAGCGCGTAAAACTAGCTCTCATAACATCAATGAGTGCACGTCGATTGCATTTTGTGCCTCACATGACGTTCGCGATCGCGCTATCTATTATCGCGATGTGATTTTTGGCAAATATATCGACGAGAAATTTGAGCGGTAACGCGAAATTCGTAGTCAAGCGCGAATCGCACTTCGTCGAAGACATCGAATCTGTCTGAATTTGTCTGAAATCCGTTCCTCTCGCGAGAATTCGATAGGCAGAGCGAGCGTGCGATGTAAAACGTGAAGTGAACAGAGAAGCAGCAGGCTGTGTTGCGCCGAACGAGCCGGGTCGTATAATATTTTTAGTTCGTGGTGAATTGTGCGCACGCGGATCAGATTGTTCGGCACAATCATTTCCGAAGAATTTTGACTTGCGGAAAGTAAAAAGCGAAAAAAAGAGGCGGTTGAAAGGAAGAATATTTGCGTAAGGATTATTTTAACGAGAAAAGCCGCGCCGGAACGGACGGAATCCCGAAAGCGATTCCAAGAAAAGAAGACATGATTGTATCGCTCGTATTGCGGTGAATTTCGGAGTAACAAAGAAAGGTTAGAGACTTTCGGAGTGCTATAAATGTAGATGAGATCTATTGGCGTCGCGTTGTGCCTTTTATATATTGACGTCCGAACAAGGTCGTATGTGAGTGGAATGACCGTGATTTAAACGAATTGCAGTGTGCATTGGTGTCTGCGCGCGCGCGTCCGTACCCGGTTCGACGAAGTGGACGAACGACGAGTCTTCTTTTTTCTCAAATGTCGGATATACGGCTGCTGCCTCGCTTCTTCTATTCGCTCTTCTGGCGTTGCTACGCGGGTCACCTGAGTGGGATACCTTTGGTGTTCCGGAGTGACATGAAGGTATGTATAAATAGACAATATGTGTACATGGACGGCGAAAGTGACTCTTGCCGGTCGCAATCGAATCGGCCACCGCGGAAAAAAAACGTCAATCGACTTTTCTACAAATGAATGAGAAAAAATAGTACTTCTCTTTTGGAAACGTATCATATCAAATTTTAAAATCGATTTTACATCGAAACTAAACATATAAAAGAATTTTGTTTTATCTGTATGGTATTCATATAATTTTACGAAGTAAAGCAGTTGATAATAAACGATTAATAAGAAGGGTGTAAAAATTTTTTTTTCTTGAAACATTTATTTTTACAACATATATTTTTTTGCGATGTCTGATTCGATCGGCCTGTCATAATATATTCTCTCAACTTTAAGCGAAATAGGACTTTTAATTGTTCACTATACAAAAACAGCACATTAAAAGCATTTTGTGAGTCGTAAAAGCTGTGCGCTGTGTGATATGCATTTTATTCGAGAAAAGAACAAAAGAGTAATAAGTTACGCGCGTTCGAATAGCTAATTCAATTTTCTGGTTTGCTGTGATTCTGAAAACTACTAAACGTCAGTAGAAAAATGTCAGTAGAAAAATAATGGTTAACCTTTGCCTCTGAATTGATAATTTAGCAGGAATAATTAAACATTATACAACATTTTTAGAGGATTTCGTAAAATTAATAATTATTTCCATTTAAATATTAATTTATTTTTGTCAATCTATATTAACTATTTCTTTACGTGCTAACTCTAAATGGGTATATTTATATATTTTTTACGTATTTTATTAATTTCATCAATTTATTTATTTATATAAATATAAAATTAATTGTTTTTTAAAAGGTTACACAGAGATAATTTATTTTACTAACATTATATATGTTATTCTTTATATATTTAAATCTTTTTTTATGTTGCTTTTACTTGGAATAATTTTTCACTGCAATAACTTATTTTGATCTTGTTACAATAACTGATTACTATAATTAGTCGCGGAAAGTAACATATGTAAAGCTACGACTTCAGCAGCTGATGCCTCATTTATCACTTTGCTGCTGTATGTGTGTTTGCGACCGCGATCTGACTGCGTGCACTATTTGCTCAATCTATCGAAACTAATTATTCGCTCTGTCGCGGAGGTTGCAATAGACAAAAAAGTTCTGTACTCTTAGTTAATTGCGATCTCGACTGATTTGTCTATAAACTGCTACGCTTTTTCATCTTTACAAGAGAGTCGCTTTGTGATTTATCAAGAGTTGAGTAGTAAAACATTGATATCGACATAAACGTTTTTAACGACTGTTTAATCTTTAAAACATGCAACGTACACTATTTGTCTTATTTCAAGGTAGTTGGATGTGTAAAATCGAATTGCAATTACTTATATTTTTAAATATTACTAAAAATATTTTAATTAATTAAATTATAAATAAAAAATAGTAAAAGAGCAGTGATTATTTCAATTGTTTCAGTTTCAATGTGTACATTGATTTAATTTTTTAACAAAGAAAAGTTTATTAGAATTGTGCTTGTTTAATGATAAAAGTATATTGTGTTTATCTTAATATAAAAATAATTAATATTATTTGGATCAAACTTTAAAAACACGCACTCTCTAATAAACTCCTTTCTATTAAAAAGATGAATTGACGCTAGTTTAAAGTACTGAATTAAAATGATTGAAATAATTGAAATAGATATGACAAGTATTGTAGCATACTACATGTAAAGAAACACATACATACACACATATGTTGCATCTCTCTGACTATTTTTGTTGTATGATTTATCAAGATTATCTATACGTGATCATGTGAAGTATCGTCACTGAAAAGAAATAGGATAGGATATTTAAATAATATAAGTTGTACCATTTAACTCTTAAACGACCATTACCGTTATGACTATTTAAAAATGACTAAAGACTAAAGACACCGCTTCATTTGTCATCGCAGCGTCACGCTAATCAGTTATGATGTATTGTAATGAGTCTGTAATTATGATGCATCGGCGTAGTCTGCAATGACAGAGGCGTCATATTTGTAGACTGGAACAAGAAACATTTCGAAACTTTATTCGTGATGCTAAAAATCAATTAGCTAATTTAGCATATTTTTTTATGTTTTGCCCTCTTTTTTTATTTTTCAAATCAAGGGTATTAACATTTTATGTGTTGAGTTGATTAATTATACATATTAATACATTATACATACATTAAAGAGCAGATTATAATAAATAATGTAAATATCACTAAATTAATGAAATGATAAAAGCAATCATCAATTTTTAATATTAAAAAAAAATCTGTTATGTAACATAAATGTGTTTCACAAATTGTACTTTCAAAATTAAGATAATAACGAATAATAGCGATGAGAAGTCAAAGGATGCACAAGGATGCGGAAAAAGTGTAGGAAGCAATTTAAATGCATTCTTGAGACGTGGGAACGCAACTCTTGGAGTGCTGCAATAAAACGATGTACAGGGTGACTTCCGTGTCATCTACTTTCCCTAAATCATAAATACAATTCTACAATAAAACAATAGTCTAAATAAATTGAACTGTCGAAATATTTAATAAAGTGTAAATTTTTACAAGAGTTTATGAATTAAGAAACAGGAGTGACAACTATAAATGAAACATAAAAACTTGTTGCAGTTTCTTAACTCACTTTATTGGTCATAAGACTGTCAGCAAATATTTGCACATGCTGATGGTATTCACTTGAGTCGAGAGGAAACGCATGACCTTTGACACACCCTGTACAAGTCGGCGCTATGAATGCAGTTCAAGCGTGCGTGTCGGGCGTGTATGACCGCTTTGCTCTCCCGCGTGGCGCGATTAAAGGTTCAACGAACCGCGCGATTTGTGGCACAGCCGCCTCCCTTCATTGATCATCACGCGACAATGAGCAGACAGTGATGTGATGAGTCAGCCGATGTGCAGGGAGGTAGGCTGTCGTGACTACAAGTATTCGGAAAGTCAATTTCGCACCAGGCAAGGATGTGTTGCATTAATTGCTGTCGAGAAAGTACTGCTCTCGCGCAATATCACGCATAAAGCGTGAAGCGCCTTATTCACGTCATTCGCCAAGTCTGCGGCGTTCTTTCTTAATGATGCCTTGGAGACAATCGATTCAGAGTCTTACGAGAAAATCCGGGATGGTCATTTGTCGCTGAAAGATATCTCGGGCATCTTTCTGGTTCAACGAGTGTTGAACGAGAATATGTTTCCATAATTCATAAATTGCGTTGTGTGCGCGTGTCTCCCTTTGCATAAATGACATGTTAGACATAGTTTTCATTATTTCATTCACGCAGAGATGCAGGATATTATAGATTACGCTCAAACGGCAATTTGTCATTTCAAACATTACTCTCCTTCATTTGTCAACTTTCACCGTAAAACTATAGATATTTTATCAGTGAAACCGCTGTGCAAATCCATTTTTTATGATATTTTTTATTTTAGAAACAACAAATGTGCGCGTTTTTCACTGTCTTGATTCTCTTTCTACAATTTTTCTGGCGATAATTATTTGTTTGTGCTTATATATTTTTTAAATAAATTAATCTATAAGTCAACGATGAGTATTTCTATTTCTCGAATTTTTTTGAAAATCAGAAGAATATGTCTTCTCAAGCTGAAGTTGACAATAATTTTTTGGAATGCGTCATCGCGCACGCATTATCGTCATCGCATACTCAGCTTGATTCCTTTTACAGCCGCTATTCCGAAGCTCTTTGTACATCATAGAGAGCACATTCGTAACGCGTCAAAGCGGTGGCAACATTGTTAATTCGGTATGACGTGATCAGAATGACAGAAGAGCCGCCGGTCGAGTAATTGTATACAATTACATCATTTGTTTGCTTTCTAGCCGGCCACGGGTCGTGAGAAACGCGGTCTAACCGAGCGTTTAATGCGCCAACTGAATTTGTGTGCACATGAACTGGACTCATGTGCCTGTGTACGTCAGCGGTAATTAATCAGCATGGGTCGGCGGATATGACTAGTCTTGCGTTCATCGTGAATTTCGAGTTCTGCTATGTTCGCCGAATTATTTATAGGATTTACATTTCTATCTGTATGCTTGGAAGCATTGAACAATTAGTGACTCTAATTAGCTTTCCTGCAATGGAATAGGTAATTAATGGCGCGTGGATCGTAATTAAGAAATGTTTTAATAATACATTCAGAATAATCAATGTGAAGTTTGTTGAACAAATAACATTGATAAAAATATTTCATCTAGCATCATTACAATCTTATGATAATGTTATCGTAATACAATCGAGTCATTTACTACATTCGATTTAATTAATAGATTTTTTAAAATAAATATACAATCAACTTTTTCTTAACAAGAACTTTTGTTATTTATTTAATTATATGAATATTTAAGTTACAATGTTGAACACGCGACAGTGATTTTCCATGTAATTTTCGCTAATTATTTTTCAATTTGAAATATTATTAAATGCAACGTATCATTCCGGTTTTAAATGTCACATCAGCATTTTCCGGTTATCTTACTATTTTTAGCACTGCGATGCTCGAATAGGCAAGTCGCGTTTAGTATCGTTTCAAATCACATCGTATTATATTTCCATTGTAGTTGTATGTAATACAAGGAAAGATTATATTTTTTAAATTATTTTAATTTAAAATTCCACGTTAAACTATTTTATCCCACCTCTGTACATTCGATATTTTGCACTATATATTTTATACACTTACAATTAGATTGTAGTTAAGTGGTTAATGCTCTATTGATTGTAAGTTGAGAATACACCAGTAACACTCTCCTCCGATTTATGGTTCGTGACTTATAATGATGTAGGAGTATCGACTATACCGCTCAATTTCGATCTCCTTTCAAGTTCCAGCACAGGAAATGGAAAACGGTTTTTATCAGAAACATGAACAGAAATAGATACGTTTTTAGAAGATGCAATTTCCTCACTGATGGGTTCGAAGAAAGCATTTATCGAGTACTTGTTAACGAAATGATATTTGAGAAAAACTAAATAGGATTTTTTGTGTTCAGATTTCTTGCCATTAATCAGAAAGAAAAGGTGTGGAAGCATGCAAATAATAGAGTTATTGGTCCAATGAAAATCGGTGAAAGTTAAGGAAATTGAAAAATAGTCGTCATATCTTGGAGCAAAATTAGGGAAATAAGGGAAATTTTTAAAATCGCTCGGATCGATTGAAAATGAGACGTAGAATAATTATTATGCAGATATAAAATGTAAAATATGCAGAAATAAAATATTTTCTGTACATTTAATACATAATATAATATAAAATATTTGAATATTAAACGAGTCTACACTGTAAATATTGATAATTATTGATAAACGTTAACTCAACAGCATTTCCACATGAATATCGACAAATCGCAAAATGAAATGTGGAGGTCAAACAGTTCACACGTTAGCTATAAAAAATAAATGTACTAATTACTGTTACATATTGTTCATCGGCTAAATACCTCATCGCGTTGCAAATCGCATTCATTTAGTATCTCGCCGTTAATTGTTACCGACAATTACGAACACTTGCGATGAAGCGTAAGTCCTCTTTCTTAGATCACGCATCAGTTGCTTTCGATACATACAAGTTTATAAATGATAACATCGGTCTTGCGAACACTTGTAATGCATTACATGGCGGGTATATTTTTGCAGAATCTTCTCCGATATATTCGAAACGGTGAGTTATCACTGGAAAGCATTGGAGAAATGGCGCGATGAATTAATGAGCTTGCGTTTGCGAAAGGTTTGCAAGTCGAGTGAAATGGTCCTATAGCGGTCAATGAGAGTACCGCAGTCTAGTCTGTACCAGAGATTTCTTAGTCGGGTCAGACGAATCTAGGACGAGTTCATAAGGTTGCAAAAATCGCCGACATACTTGGTCCGGTTAATCTGATCATTTAAAATAATTCTTGAAACCAGTATAATTATTAAAGTTTAAATTATATCATCTAGAATATCGTGCAATTTAACGATATATACATCTTATTTTTAAGTCTTATTGAGTTTAAGTTGCAAATGAAATATTATATGAAAATAATATATCTTTTGCGACTTGACAATCGCGCTTTTTATAAACTATATTAGTATGTTAATTTGCTGAAAAATTAATCAATTTTTAATAAAAGATTAATTTTGTTTTATATTATTATTTTCATTATTCAACATGTTTCTCGATTATTCAATAAGAGAAAAATTTGTGAACGCTATGTCATTCTGTTTGATATAACAAAAATGCTTTTATATTTTTGCAGGCGTAAATCGTCGTAAGATGGCTTCTAACGAAGACGGTGATTTGATTGATCTTGGAAACGATGCGTGTGTACCGCGTATCACCGTGGACGATTCGACACCCGAAGAACAGGAGCATTTACTTGATGTTTGTCCTCCAAAACTTGAGCAAAAACTTTCTCTTACTAGACGACAAGAGCGAGTGCTAGATAACATAGACAAAGGTGACATTCTGGTGACTTTGGGCCATGATCAAGTGGTGCCGATTCGGAAACGGATCGACGTAGTCTCATCGGACACGATTAAGCGGGTTCGCGATATTACCCGCAATCTGGAGCCAATGATACGCAAAACTTGTTCCGATATCAATGAAGAAACACAACGGGACGCGGTGGACTATGCGACGATCTCCGACCGCGAAGAATCGATGAACACAATCGCGAAACACGAAGACGAGACTTATGAAGCGCGGGAGATAAATAATGCCTTCAATTTTCTTACCGAACACGACGACAACGAGGATCAAGCGGAGACGAGCATTAGCCGCGTAAGAAATGAGAACGTTGACTTGAATCGCTCGATATCTTCCATGCGTCCCCTGATTGAGAAGGACACGGCCAATTACCCCTCCGAGTCACCGTCAGGACTTGGAACGAGGAAATTACCGGTAGAAATGACGCAAATGCGAGGGTGGACGTCGTTACACCAAATGGCTACGATGTCCAGCTAGATAATTTAGCCTTTGAATCGTCGCCAGATTCGAAAAAGTTTCAAGAGGATAGTTCGATCGGGAACTGGTCCGTTTCCGTTGATTCGGAAACTCACACGAGAGCCGCTTTCAAGAGACGCGGTCAGGAGGACATCACCTTCAAGCGCGAGAGCAAGAGGCGTTCCTTTCAAGAGTCGCATCGTAAATCATGGACGGAAGGAACGAGCTTAAACTCAACTCTCACGGATGGACTTGGTGGTATCGATAGATCCACTAGTTTCCAGGAATATCGTTGCGCACCGTCGATCTCCGACGATTATGGGGTATCCAGCTTTCTCACGAGGTATGATTGCTTCTAGCATATTTTTATGCCTTTTTGCGTTTTTGAGTTTTATATTTGTAGAAGAGAAAGAAGTTATATGTGTCATATTTTTATTACATTGCAATGATAATCTATATATATATATTAAAAAAAGCTTTTAAGATTAACAAGCTGATAGTTATCTATAAAACAAATTATTCTGATAAATTATTCTCAGATAACTTGTGATGTAAAAGAAATTAATTTTTACGGTAAATAATTTGAAAATTCAATGCGTAATTAAGCTCTCTCTATCTTGTTAAGTTTCTCTCATTAATTTCTGCTAATTAGAAAGTAACGAATATTTAAATTAAATTACTAAATATCCTAATTTCCTATCGGAAAGTATATTATATGTTTATAAAAATTTCTTTCTTCCTCTTACTTTTATATTTTTGGCTCATTTACTTGACGGGAAACAATCTCATATAACTAGTACGAGTCAGATGTAGGAATGCGCATAGATAGACTCGAATATGCAGCGGCAGGATGCGCACTGTCTCGGAAATATTTACATAGATTCAGATCGACCTAACGAGTACACAAACTGTCTTGATTTTGATTCATTCGACAAATGCATGCTCGGAGACGAGAAATAGACAAGAGCACAATACAGAACCTTGTCGCCAATCGAAGTAAGGACTAACAATGAAACTTGAACACAATGACATAGATCTCTTTTAATAATCGTAAATACATTATGTTCGTCTTATGTTTCACTTATGCTATTAGCAGAAGTACAAGTTTTTATCGAGAGCCACTTTCAACGAGTAGATCTCTCAAGTAGCCGCTGAAGTGAACTCGGAGCACTTGTTGAAAACTACTCTCAATTCCATTTCTGTTGAGGAATTTTACTGATTGTTATTCTTGAGAATTGTCATATATAAAAATTTTCAATTAAACATCAAAGTCGTGTAAAAAACGAAATTTATTATAAAATTGATTTTTAACAATATATATTACACGATTTTGATATAAAAATGTGAAATCTTAATGATAACATATAAATTATTACATAACTTGTTTCTAATTATAAAAGATTGAAAGTTAATATTTTTTTCAATTCAAGAAATTTACTCTCTCTGGCGATAGTGAAACTTTCTAATGGCCAACGATTTAGAGCGAATGTGAATATTCGATCTAGAAGCAAACGCATTGCTCTCACTTTGAAAAAATTATGACAGTCGCGAGTCGTAAAAGTAAACGACATCATGTAGTGCGTATTTTCACGATGATTCGCACAACGGTATCACGAGACGAGCATTCACGTAAGCGTGCAAACATGCAATGAATTAAGTCCCGCACCGAATCGCGCGCGGAACACTTCGGAAAGATGGAACATTACGTACGTCACGTGAAAGCGGAAAATTCTGGTCTTTGAGACACATGTTGCAAAACGCATATTATATAGAATGACAAATAGACTTGCTGATATCAAAATAAACATATGCATATTTTTTATTTTACATTATCTATTAAATTTCCTATTTATTTAATAATTTTTATTTCAATACAATTTATCAAATCTTTGAGTAAAAAGCCTGCATTAAATACGCATAGTACTAAAATATAAGAATAGAATATCAATATTGGATAATATTAAAAGTTATTATTATCATCAACTTTTTCTCGGTAGTCGGAGAAAAATGCAGTTGGATATTTTACTGATTGTCATCCAGTAGCGTAATTCTGCGGCTCTTCCGTTTACTCGTTAACGCCATATTCCGAGAGCGAGTCATCGTATCCACAATCTTGTACCTACAATAGCGTACCGACGCTTTTGTTCCATGCGCGAAGGAAATAATTAATAACAATTGCAGTGCGGTATGATGGCGTGAAACCTTCATCGTCCATAATACGACTGCAATATCGTTGTTGATACAGACACATTGAGAAAGGGCACGACCATGTTTAGAAAGTCATTCTGCGGATTAATTCGCGAGAAGTCGCGTCTGAGCGAAACATAATGCTGTCGGAGATGCAGTTTCGCTTGTAAATTGTAAGACAAGAGGAATACAAAGTGTAGGCTCCGGGACATAACGAAATATAAGAGTAAGAATGGGAATACATGGGAAAGGAAGAAATCCGAGAAGAATAGAAGTCTTGAAAACTGATTTGTTTGGAAAAAACGTACAAAGATTCCTCTCAGAAGACATTTTCGGAATAAATTCGACGAATATATACAAATCAAACAAAATATAAATTGTATATAAAATTAATCTTTAGCATTCATAGGAAGTTCTAATTATAATTTGTTCTAGAAAGTTTTTATCATAACTTACGCGCTATTAATACCCAAACGATCATATTTAAAGGTTTCAGTTTTACTAGCTTTATTCTGTGTTCTAATTATATCAAAACCGATCACAATTTTTTGTACTTTTATATAGAAGCGTATTGAAAAGCAATATTTATATTAAATTTATATTAAAGGAGATTGATGTATTTGCGACAAAGGATACGGACGCACTGAGAAAGGGCACGATCGCATTTAGAAAGTCACTGTTTGCATTGGTACGTGACCGTCGCAAGCGTTGCAAAAGTAATCGGGTCAACGGGCATTCGAACGACCTCTCCCTCTCTCTTTCTCTCTTTGTCGAATAGATCCGCGGGATTTGAACAAAAATTTCAGTCGTTATATCGGCGAAACACTTCCCACGCGCGACTCGCGCACAATAAGGTGAGAGTCGCAACCGTGCCGGTCGCATTACGCGTCCGGAAAGCCGCGTCGCAGTTATGCGCGTTGCTTGTGACGAAATCCCTCAATGCCTCGCTGCTCGTCCGCGATGCGGATTTCCAAAGAGAAATATATGATTTATGCGTAAAGAGGAGTTACACACACGAATTAATTCAATGCGAAAGTAATGAAAATAACGCGTAACGCAATTAAACGTAATTAACGGTTTCAGGTATTATTTAAGTTTCATTAGTAGTTGTTTAGACATTTAACTTTTATTTTGTACAAAACTTAATTGTAACCTTCATCAATCTTCATCAATCTTTTCAAATAGTGACAATGAAATGCATATTGGAAAATTCTTAAGTACGTATTATACATAGCCGCTCATATCGTCTACTGAATCTAAACACAAAGTCTTTCTACTTTATATCGACTTTCTGATGTTCTGAATCATTACATACCTTCTGCATAGCGTCATAAGCGACCAGATTGGACATAAAAGTAAAATATGGAAGAAATGAAGTTTAAAATAGATTTATAGACTTAGAATATTAGCGAACCATCTAATCTTACTTAAATAAAGACGATAAATTCTGAATACATAAAGGAATTATTCTTTTTAAACACAATATACGCACTAGAATTTTTATTTTTCAAGAAATATAAAAAGAACTCGATAGAGATAACATAATTGTATAAAAAACATTCTATTATTATATTAGTTTATTATTGATTCCGTGACAGGAATAAAGCTTTTTCTATATAATGTGTGTCCACATAAAAAGTACATCACGTTTAAAAATACACTCTCTGTATTTCTGGAGTAAGATTCTTCTAAAATAAGCTATTCAGATGTACATACAATGTTGTTCCTGCTAGTTTTAACGCATATGCGTTCTCACAATTCATCCTTTACTTGAGAAACTTGAATTATCCACTGCAATCCCCCCGCGTGCTCATTTTAACCCCTGTCTCCTGCGCTGCTCACGTGCAAGCGACTCGTTGTTTCGAGGCACGAGAAGAATCACCCAGCCCTTCTCCACCCACATTCCTACGGTTATCTTCCTACAATTCGTAATCGCGCGGCGGTTCAACCGAGAAGGAGGAGCAGCCGCGCGGGCGGAAAGACGCGACACGGCAAAGCACACGGGGCTCGCGCTCCCACACGCGGTCGCGTATCCTATTATCCCTCGTCGTCTCGTCGGTCTCGGTCAGGACGGATGTGGGGTGTGCGGCACCCACGGGGATCGCGTAAAAGTACCTTCCTCAGCGCGCGGCGTCCGTCGACCGGTGTTAGGCGCTCTCGCCGGCATTCCGGACCGGAAGTCACGGTACACGGGGGTCGTGCGCGCCAAGCGTAGAGCCCGCATCGAGGTGGCATACCCTCTCTTGCCCCCCTGCTACGTTACTTTCGATTCCCTCCAAGTGGCACGTGCGGCTATCCTTACGGAGAACAAAGAGTTCTGCGATCTGCCGTTCTCCGGAATGATCTTTCTTCGGGCTATTCTATACGCGCGAGATAATCCGCGTGTTTAACTGTCGCAGCGGTTATCACGGTTTTTCTATTTCCTCCTGGAAATAAGAGATGTGTGAAATTAGAGGAGTGCGACAGAGGTTGAGATCATTGACCCGTTATGCGGAAATTTTTGTAGAAAGGAGCGGGAAACCTGTTGCTTTAGTGTAAAAAGGGAATTTATATTGGAGTTGTGAAATTTTTTACAATATTAAAGAATAATAACATCACCGAGAAATTGTTTGACTGTCTACGTATTTATTTTTTACACGTTACATGTTGCACGTTAATGTGATTAACATTTTTTAGATTTTAAATAATTTAATGAGATCTTTTAATTAGCTAATGTTGCCGGTAGCTGTGCAAATATTTACTATGATTAATGCGGTCCTTTCTATTATTCTTCTTATCGCCACTAAAGAATACATTTCCATATTTGCATTACTTAGTCTCTCGTATCTGCAAAAAAGAAAAAGAAGAAACGGTTGTACCACCGTTCCGGTTAATGTTTCACGTTCGTTGGAGCGAGACTCGCAGGACCCATACGGCGAAGATTAATCCCGCATTTCCTTGTGCTTGCAGACAGACACCGGAAATAGAATCGGCAACGGCGACCGAGGACGGCTGTTCGGACGGCTCCGAAGTGGATTGGTCGTGGCTCGAGGAAGTGGATGGTCTACGGGCCGCGGAACCGTTCACCACGGTCGGCGGTGAACGCGACGAACCGGGGGGTAGGAGAAGCGCTTCTCCCACTAACGGAAACACGGGGCGCAGGCGCGCCCGCGACCATCACGAGACGGAGGCGACCCGCAGTGTCGCGATGTCCGTCACCGTGACGGCAAAGCCCTTAGCGGTCGGTGACTCGCGGTGGCCATCTTCTGGAGGCGCGCTTCTTGATCGTCAAAACAATAACAACAGTCGTCGCCATCGGCAGCGTTGTAACGGTGATAACAACAACAACGACGACGGCGATGAGGACGACGAGGCCACCGCGCGCTGTAACGCCACGAATGAAGCAGTCGATCGTGAGAATCACGACGTCTCGACAACGACGATCACCACCGGCTCAGTCGCCGCTACCGCGAATTCATGGATGCGCGCGTCTATGCGGCGTCTGCGTCATCTGCGGCTACCCGAAGGCACACAACGCAGAGGCAACGAGTTAACCAATCGGCGCGCCGCGATCGTCTCGGCGCCGAATTCACTGCCGGACATTGCGCTGATCGCACCGGAAATCCTCGCGGCGCAGACCAACGGCGGTAATTCCGGCACGCTGCTGCGACCCGCGAGCGCGCCTGCGAGAAACGCAACCGCCGCCGGCGTCGCGACGCCGCGTCGGACCGGCCGGCAATTCGCCGGCGGTGGTAGGTCGCGAGGTGCGCGAAGTCGTGAAGCGTCTTCGAGGCAGGGCAGTCTCGGATCTACGACCACGGTCAGTGACACCACAGTCGCATCCGGCATTACGACCTGCTCCAGTTCATTTGGCGGTGCTTCCACCAGTCCACCCTCCAGCACGGCGACTAGCCCGCAGCGTGCCACTTCGAGAAGGTGAGTACACAAATGTGATTACATTTGTCACGTGATTTTGCTAGAGATACGTGTAGATATGTATAGATAGATTTATGCAACCGTGGACATATCTCGAATCCTTCGCACAAAAGAATTTTTTTATTTCTAAATAACGGGCTGTATTATATTCGCTTAATTATGAAGACTAAAAATTCAATTTATAACAACTGTAATGCTAGTAATCATCGTGCGTCAAATTAAATACATAGCAGAATTGTAAAGCCTTTCGTAAACAAATGCGTGTCCGATGAATTTATGATGTGTTTTTAAACGCGTAAAAAGCTCGACCTTTATGGTTGGCTGAAACTCTCGGAATCATCCCGTTTTGCGTCTTTTCTCTTGATGCTTGAACCTCTTGCCACACTCACCGGAAGCGAGAACGGAGTTAACGACTCGATTGTTGCTTGCTACCCGTCCAAGCTTGACATTACTCGCGCTTTGGCTCCTTGTTTGCGCAATCGGTTGATACACTTCGCAGCCCAGGCGTTAGAAAATTAGACCAGAAAATTATTTTTGCGCGTTGGATTCTTCTTTGACTCTGATTGTCCTCGATTAAGCGTGTTTCCATTCTGAAGATCAGAAATTGTTACACGCTTTTTATTTTGTTTAATCGGATGTTTTGCAAAGTCATACGTTATTCATTGGCAATGATATCAGAAATTCGGTACATTAACGAACAGTGAAGGACATTATACATCTTGATATTCGTATGTTTAATAATATAATATTTTATCACCTCGAAAGAAATTTTATCTGCCATTTAATAAGAAATAAATATTACAATAGCCGTAATTATGCTCAAATCGAAGATGACAAGAATATGAAAACTTTGCAAAGTTTGCTCCAAATAATGAAATAAAATAAATAATGAAAAAAGATTGATGAGAAAAGTTGATATCAACGTGCGAACGTATAACAAAAGTATTGTTTTTGCACACACACACACACACACAGTGTAAACGTTCTCTTTTTAATGTTCTACACAAAGATCCTTGACGCGTTACGAGCTGTGTTGTCATACATATCAGCTGCAGAAATCGTCTGTTCGTAATGTGTGAGAGGATATTCCGTTTTACTAGAAATTTTAGATTATATTCCATCAATAACTGCCAATAACACTATTTGACCTCCTTTAGTGTTTCGTTATCGGCGTTCAATCGCGTTAATAGTTGAATAATATTTAAACATTTTCAGTGGGAAATATTTATATCTAACTGGTTATTTTTAATACCAGTGAATTATACCAGTAACCCACATAGAGCAAATACATGCACGATGATAAATTTATCAGTCACTCGGAGGTAACTGTAAGTCGTGTCTCGTTTTTCAGCTTAACGAGCCTCGTTTACAGCTGGCACTGAATCGCGAAAGTAGTGTCAATATTACGTTTATTTATTCGCCGACGCTTTGCGTTTTTAATTGTGCAGTGTTACATGTAGTCACGTGAGAAATATAATTTATCTTATTGCGATAACGGCAAATTTATAACCATGAAAAATTTATTACCATTAATCTTGTGGGTTATTTTCAGTCTCATAATGCGATATCTCGTTTTATTTGGACGTAATTTTATCGATCGAAACTGTGGATTTTAGATGACGATAATGAATGCAAAACACCTCGATTCATAAATAATCCGTCGTCGTAGACTGAAAAATGTTTTAAGTGCGGATAATAGCGCATCTCAATTAGAAATTTATTTTATTCAAAAATAGTAAAATTTAATGTCCTCGAATGACGAGCGTGTAATGATTCGCTCAGTCAACGATCCATTGTTGTAAATTGTGTCCGGTCGATTTCGTCAGGATCGAAAGGGTCGATGATCTCAATCGTTCAGAGATTGTTTCGCTGTCGATGAACCGTGTAACCTGTTGCGCAATCCGTTCTCCTGTACCGAGCAAGGAGCAAGATCTCTCGGGGATGACGGAAGCATTTATTGATTTACGTGCCAGTTTTCCATATACAAACGTGAGAAGGCAAAGTAATGACGACTCTCATAACATATTTGAGATGTTTCGTTATGTGATATTTGTTTGGTGCGCCTATTATTAATGAATTAATTATGATCAAGCTATATGATACATGATGTGACTAACGAGAGATCTCTTTCACGTGATAGAACGCTTTGATCGCAACATTATTCGAATAATGTATAGAGATAAGGACTTAGATTTCGCGCGTTTTATAATTATAATGTTTAATTAAATTGATAATAACATATGAGAGATATTGGATAAAAAGTAAAATAGAAATACTGTATAATTCGATGAGAATTCGATCTTACGCGATAGAGAAGTACCTATTAATAATGATAACAAATTGTGCAAATATTTGTTGCGCAATAACAATTGCAACAATTTCATTCTAGGATCTTATTTATTTTTCGAAGAATGACATTACTGCCTTCACTTTTCAAAACTATAAGTGTGTAATTCTTTTGTTCTTGTGTAATTTTTCTTTTCTTACGTCGGTTTCATGTTATTATCTTATTATTTCTAATTATTTCATAATTTTTTCTGTTATTTAATTACTTAATGTTTGCTTTTAATCAATGTATGCAAAAAATTCACGTATATATTTGGAAAGACATACATTCATTATGCTATCTGAAAAACGCTTCAAGGTATTCAATCTTTCACAAGCTTGTCTTTTAAAGCCAATAACCTCGTTTAGTATAGCAGAATTAACACGTATAGATACTTTTCGCATGTGTTGAACAGGATTAACAGGATCGACGTTGATTTGCGGAACGTGAGACGTTTTCTCGAGCAAGGGGGAATAAACGCGGTGATTTTAATTGGTTGGAGTTCTTGTCAAGTTCACAAAATCTCTTCCGCCTGTCAATGAACGCCGTATGAGGGACGCCGTGTTTCTTGCCGAAGTCGCAATTATCCACTGTTCCAAAGTATCGAACGCTAACCGGGAGCGAGCAAGCCCAAGGAAACGACCATATTCCCTCCGAACCGTGACCGTCGTCTTCGTCGCGCCGACACACCTACTCCCTTCATTAATGCCGCGCGCCACAATTTCCTTCGTGCAACCAAGTCGCGCTTGCATTTCTACTCATATTATTTAATCTATTTTTGGGGAATAATAATTTGGCTATCGCGTGCTTATACAAAACATTTAATAATAAATATATATATTTGAGATACGGTGGTATATTCTGTTGAAAATCGAAATCATTTTGTTTATGGGAAAATTTATTATAATTAAATATCCGCGAAATTTTTAAAACAAATTTTGATTGGAAGAAATGCGATATTATTTTGCAGCATCAAAGAGGAAGTATACTTGTTAACTTATGACTTAGATATCGCATGACATATAAAGACGTTAATGAGAAATTTCATCACGATACAATTGTAGCATGTCAACGGCACGTTTCTTTCGTAATTGCTTGGATTCTTTGACAATGCGTGTATGATTCATATTTGGGTCAGTTGGTTGCTGCCGGGAGTAGTAGTCAGTACCGGGTCGACGATGGTGCACCGCCTCATGTAAGTTACTTTAACGGTATACTAACGTTATAGTCGCGAGCATCGCGGAGTAAGTGTTCTATAATCGTCGAGTGTGTTCACCGAAGTAAAAGAAGCGAACATGATGCGCGTATTTTGTTCTCTTCGTTTGATGATGTCTTTCAAGAATTTCCCCGACATTTGAGATGAAAAAGATTTCTTTCTTAGTAGCTTAATGTCGCGATAAAAATTGATTGTTTTCGAAAGATTAATTTTAAATCATTTGATCAATTTGATATATATTTAAATAATTTACATTTGTCAAAAGCATTGCCTTTTTTTTGAGAACGGATGATCATAATATATTGTACTACCGAGATAGTCGCGTTGTTCGGTCGTTGCACTTAATTCTTTGTGCATACTTACTTTTCTCGGCACTTCTTCTCGATAGTTTTATTGATCTCGGCGGAGTTGTGTGCTGCGTCAACGCAAACGGCGGCATTCGCCTTTTTGCACTCTTGTAGTCGAACTCATAAATTTAAACACGGATTCACTTTTGTAATTCAGAAGTATTAATCACAAATATTAATTTATAATTTCTTTTTATCTTACGATCATGTTTTTTTGGAGTATTCACTTTTTTTGTTATATACTCGACGATATAAGTTGCTAGATAATAATAAGATAGAAATAATTATATCAAAAGACTTCGTTTTTAATTGTAGAAACATAAGTTACCTGGAGATAATTGATTATTAATAATTCTTATTACAAAAGATTAAATTATGAAAATGATCAAAGCTTCGAAAAAATTATAATCCACGCAATTATAACAGCAAAGAAATTGCAATCGCTGATGCAGAAATTTAATTCTTTTTATCGAAAAATATTGTGTTTAGCAAGCTGCCAGATAAATAGACAAAGAAAGGAGAAATAAAAGAGATGGGTAAAAGCTTGAAGTGACCCGAAATAGAGGATTATTTTCTTCGTGCGCAGATCTTATCGAGACGAAAAGCGATCTCCTACTTCCGTGCTGACATTTCGCTCCTCGCTTTTTGTCGCTATGCAGCGTAGATCTCAGTCTTGTTACACGGTCCAATTCAGCCACTTTCGCAAGTTTCCTTTGTTTTTAGGAAGATACCATGCCCTCATCTAGATTCGCATATTATTTCGTTATCGGCAGTTGTAGATCTTTGTTACTCTGCCGCTTAAAATGAGCGACCATTATGTTCTCTTTTTGATAATTATAAAGATGTGCTATAATCAACAAGTTCTAAATAAATTAATATTTTTTTAGGATATTTTATTTAGATATTATTTTTGTATGTAACTTTAGTACAGATTAATTAACAGGTCTTTTTTTTATAAACTTGCAATATTTGAAAATTCCACCATTATATTTTCTCTTGCTATAAAATTTGTTTAGTAAATTATTAAATAAATAATTCTGTAATAAACTGAAACATGATTGTGGAAACAAGCGTTATTCAGGTCTGAAATGCTAGTAGCTCAATTGAAAAT